CTTTATCCACTGAGCCAAACTGGTTAGGGCTGCGTATAAGATCTTTGGTTAATATCTTTCTGCCTTCCCCCCTCCTCCCTTCCCTCTGAGATTCATCAGTCTGTTACATGTTTCCAAAGCTGTAGTTTCTGCTCCTGTGTTGAGCATCTGCCCCCTGGTGGTCAGTGCACATCATAGCTACTGGCCATTGGCCAGTTGACCAGTCGGCCAGTTGCTTATGCTTTTATATATATAGATGATTGTCTTTACACTAAATTAAACTGTGTGTATTAATTATGCTTTGTTTGTCAATATAGGAGCAGCTCATGGCCTATCATCCATTTTCCAGATGCTTCTTTCTTACTATGAGCACATCAAGCCCTCAGATCAGGAGCTTGTATGGCAGAGTGTGGACTTCCTCATGGAGCAGGAGCAGAACTGCAACTGGCCACCTGAGCTTGGCGCGGCCATTGAGAGAGAGAACGAGCTGGTACACTGGTGCCATGGCGCCCCAGGTCTCACACTCATTATTATCTGAAAACAATGCCTTTCATCAAGCTTAGATAAAGACAGATGTATTTTCTGAAAAGTGAGGTTATTTCTCATCTTATTTCATTACTACATGAGATAAAAAGGTCAATATGAAAAATTTTTAAATGGTATTTATTAAATTGATTGGGCTGACATTGGTCAACATGAACATATAGGTTCCATGCGTCAATTTTTATGTTACAAGATCTGTATATTGCACCATGTACCCACCACCCAAAGTCAAATCTTCTCCTGTAACTTCATATTAGGACTCCCTTCTCCCCCCCCCCCACTCCCTTCTCTCTGGCAACCACCACTCTACTGTTTATGTTCATAAGTTTCAGATTTATGTTGCACATATGAGTGAAATCATATGGTTCTTAGCTTTTTCTGTCTGACTTACTTCACTTAGCATAATGTTCTCAAGGTCCATCCATGTTGTTGCAAATGGTGCTATTTCATCCTTCCTTATGGCTGAGTAGTATTCCATTGTGTGTATGTACCACATCTCCTTTATCCAGTCCTCTATCACAGGACAGTGTGGCGTATACTTTTTCTCACTAAATGCAATAAAGTATAGCAGGCATATTCATATGACTTCGTCATAGCCTTAATGATTCTGGAATAAAGGACAAAAGTCATTTTAAAACCATTAAAACAAATGCTGTGGCTAAAATAAACTCTATATTGCATTATGTTACATCATCCCTGTGGTAATACTGACAGGGCATTTCCTTTCCTCTGTGTGAAACACAGGTGTGGCTATTTTAAAAAATAATTCCACAAGGACACCTGGGTAGGCAACTTTGAATTGAGAACAAGAAGGGCTTGTGCAGTACAGATGTTTCTGTCACTAAGCTTTGTAATGCAATGCAATACCTGACTGCATGAAATTATTGATCCCAGGATGGACCTGCCTGGTGATCCCCAGTATGTTGAAACTGTATGTACCACGTCTGGCTGTCACAAGGCTGTGCTAAATTGTATGTTTTCAAATATCTAGTCTCTAAAATCATAGTTCTTAACTAATAATTCCCTCCTCTAATTGTCTTTGGCAAAGGCATATATTGTTGCTGACTCAGGATTTTTTTTATTATCACTGCACCTTAGCATTCCCATGATGAAATGTCACAGTTCCCATAAAAATCAAAGAAATCCAACATTCCTTCCTTTTAGACTAATCAGTCTTATTGTGGATTTCATTAGGTCTGGTTAGGAGACAATAGTTTTAGAAGAGTTCCAACGTTCCTTCCATGTACCATTCCATGACCCAAACTGCAGGAAGAGGATATTTCTCTCTTGCCAGAACCATAGGATCAATACCTATTAGCTGTCTGGGATTAATGGCCTGGTATAGTAATTGGACCATCTCAGTCCTTCTTCCTTTCACATCTCTCATCTTCACTCAGTGTTGGACTGTGTTGGGATGAGAAATGAGACATTACAGGGTCAATAGACATTTGTGAACCCCTTGCCATGTGTTACAAATTAGGGGAGCAAAATTGAACAAGAAAGAGGTCCTCCCCTTGGGAAGTTTGCACTAGGTGAGGCAGATATGCTCACAGAAAATTTTAATATGATACTGTATTAGTGCTAAGGTTTGTATAGGGAGTGATAGGAGCTACGAGAAGTGATTTCTGGTATTCCTCCAGGTTCAGGGAATGCTTCCTGAAGGAGGTGATGCCTGAGATAAGTTGACCAGGCCAAGAAGGGTGGAAAAATTGTTTTAAAAAAAGTCAGTCAGGGGCATGAGACCATATAGTGAAGGAAGGGGAACTATGAATAGTTTAGTTTTACCAAAGTGGAAAGTGTTAAGTAGGGAATAGAGGAAAAATAGCAGGGGAACAGAGTAGGGAGCTGGGTCACAAAGGGTTTTCTATGTCTCATTTGGAGACTAGCTTCACCTGGATTTTGAGGGGAAGCTAAGAGGCACAGATTACACCACGAAATTGGTTTGTCTTTTGTCTTAAGGCTAAGCTTTTGTACCCCTGTGTCAGTCTCTGGCTGAAATCTTCTGGCGGGTGGGCACATAGCCTAACCTCCCATTTGGCTGAGGGCAAATCTTCCAAGAAGAGGGAAGCTGTGAACTTTGTTAGCAGTCAGCTCATAGCAACTGGGAGATGGGTGCACCTGCTGTCAAGGTCAAGGAGATCCAGCAGAGCACCAAGGGCCTTCAATTCACCTGGCTAATTTCTCCTCAACCTTTGGTACTCAGGATAGATGGTGCCACTCCCCCTCATGGGCCTTTCATACCTGCAGGTGTGGGTTAGGAGCCTTCCTGTGTGCTTCAACATAGTCTAATTTTCCCCTTCACATAGCCTAATTAATGCCTCTAGTTAGGTGGTATACACTATGAAGGCAGAGGCTTTTTAAAACCTTAGCATCTACTGTGCCTGACATATAGTAGGTATTCAATGAATATCTAAACAGCTACCAAATCCTGTGAGCTGTCTCTTTCATTAGCCTCTTTGCCATCTTTCTGCCAACATGATTAGTTCATAGCTACCCCATTGCCCTTCTTTAGGTATCTCCTGACACCAGTGTGGGCCATTTTGTCTATAATACTAATCACATCATTAAAAATAAAAAGCAGCCAATTCCCAACCAAAAAACTTCCACTGGTTGGTTTCCTGTTGCCCACAGAATACAGTCCAAATGCCTAATTTGATTTGTAAAACCATTCTTATTGTGAACCCAGTCTATCCTTCCAACCCTCTGTCCTGTTGGTTAGAATACTGCTCAACTGGTCTTCATGTAGCTTGTTTGTCCAGGCTCTGAAACTTTGCCCTTGCTGATCTTGATACCTAAAAAGCTCTCTCTCCCTAACCTTGAGCCTGGAATTTCCTATGCATCCTACAAAGTCCTGAAGAAAAACCTACTTCACTTGACTGTCTCCCTCAGGGAACTTGCACTTTTCCAGTCCCTCTAGTATAATTGACAGTACCATTCATTTTATTCTCCAAAACCATAATGAACTACATTTCCTATTATGTGTTAGTCACATGTATATAATTTTCCCTCCCTTTCTAGACATTGCCTTCCTGAAGGGCAAGAGTCATGTTTAGCACTTATTTTGTAATACCCAGGGCCAGGACTTGCTACGTAATTTGAAAATGATTTTAAAAACTATTAAGAATTTCAAGATGGCAACAGCAGAGCATTAAACACAGCATCAGATCCTTGTGAGACTGTACAGGTTATATGCCCATGAAGCCAGCCATGCTATGCATACAGTAGATAATCAATGAACACTTTCAAATGAACAGATACAGTGAATGAATATATAGGGCGTTCCCCAAAATGTGTACACACACACTTTGAATAATTGTAAGGGCAGTTTTTATTAAAATACATTTCATTTTCAAGATTGAGCTATCAGCTGTTAAAGTCTGTATATATATTTTGGGACACCCTGTATATATAACTAAATAAGTTCATTTCTTTTAAAATCATCCTTTAGTTGGTGGGAGACACTTTGTTCCTAAAACTGAAGAACAATTCTATAGATGACCATTTTCAGTGGTTGATTGGAAAGCATTAGCTGAAGAGAGCCTGTTATGTAAGTGTTAATCATAGAAAGTGTTAAAGGATAGTTTTAAAAGAGAATAAAGTCATGAGTCTCAGACAAATATAAACACGTGAATGATTTTATTTGCTCATTAATATAAGGCAACTAGAAAGGTGTTACAACTGGTTCAAAGGAAAATCCAAAAAGCAAATATATTTATAGACCATTAGGAATGCTGACATGAATTTGCTTAGTAGATGCAAAACTTGCTGCTTCCACAAAGGCTGAGGAAAGTCAATCCAACCTCTATCAGGCAGAATTTGACTTTCTAGGGACAGGATTTCTTTATATATTGCTACCAGTTTTCTACACAGTAATCCTATTTCTGCAGAATTGTAAAGAGCCCAGTGAAAGAAAATGAAAGGGAGAAAGAATCTTGATGAGTTAGTTAAATACTTCCAGTCTTTTCTACTTTATATAAGAATAAGGTAGGCCATGCAGGAGAGAGAGAGTGATCTTGGGTTACTAATCTCCTCTATGAATATGAGCACCAAAAACTTGAGGGAAATGTTTCTATTAATAGTTGTCACTTCTCTTGTTTCTGTTCCTGCCTGTGTAATTGAGATTGCCTCTGTTGAGAAGTCTTTCCTTGGAACAATCAAGTTAGGAAGAACTAATTTCATAGCTGCAGTAGAAGTCTTGGCTAAGTCATTTGGGATCATTATTATTTTTGGCAGGACTCCCAGTTTTGCTCTTAAAAGGTGTATAGTTATAAGTATTTTAACATTGCAGATTCTGAACCTTGGGGGAGGAGAAGAATGGGCAAACTATAAACATTTAGCCATTCCAAATAGCCAAATATGCATAATACTTAACAGAGTATGCATTATTAAATATTTATAAATTATGAATTTTTATCATTCTATGTAATTGTTGTTGTTTCTCCAGGGATTAATACCACAATATAATTCAAATAACTTAAAATAAATTTCACAGGTAAAATAAGACTCCCTTATAGGAAATTCTATAGCCTTGCTATTCAAAATGTGGTCTCCAGTAGTACACTTGTTAGAAATGCAGTACCTCAAGCCCCGTCTCAGACCTACAAGAATAGAATGGATATTTTACCAATACACTGGTGATTTGTGAGCCTTTTACAGTTGAGAAGTTTTGGCCTATAGTATTAAAACCTGAAAGTAACCTCTAATGCAGCTGTGGGCAAACTACGGCCATCCGGCCCGTTTAAAATGAATAAAACTATTGAAAAAAAAAGACCGTACCCTTTTATGTAATGATGTTTACTTTGAATTTATATTAGTTCACACAAACACTCCATCCATGCTTTTGTTCTGGCCCTCCAGTCCAGTTTAAGAACACATTGTGGCCATCGAGTCAAAAAGTTTGCCCACCCCTGCTCTAATGTTTTGGATGTTTTCACAGGAATTGCCTATCTGTTTGCCAAAGCTTATCTGGTTTCCAAGAAACCACAGTACCTGGACACATGTATCTGGTGTGGGGAACTCACATGGCAGAAGGGCCTACTAAAGAAGGTGCCAGGAATTTGCCACGATGTAGCTGGCAGTGCCTGTCTTCCTGTTGCTTTATCGGCTCACAGGAAACTCTAAATACATCTACCGAGGCCAAAAGTCAGCCATTCTTCACACGTATTTTTTGCAGATGTTAATCTAACTAACATTCTGAGTAGGTAATCCTATCTAATAATAGACAAACATGGTAATTGACCATACCTTCGCTATGCCTCCCATTGGCTAATCAGCATGGTATGCAAATTAACTGCCAACAAAGATGGCAGCTAATTTGAATACTGCAGGCAAGGCAAGACAGCGCCATCCCTACTGCCCTGCCCCCATCCGGGCCTGCTATCTGCGACCCGGGGCGGCGGGCATCCATGTGTGACCTGACCAGGGGCGGCTGGATGGTGCAGCAGCGATCAGCCAGCCTAATCCAGAACCCCTCAGCCCCTTGGGGGACCCCACTGCTGCAAATTTTTGTGCACCGGGCCTCTAGTAGTTATAAAGTTTAAAAAATGTAAAAATAATATATCAACTATGCACTCTTAATAAATGTATAACAGTATTTTTTATACTGTTTGCAATCTATGTTTTAAATAAACAATTTTAAGGGATACCTTTTCAGTTTGTATAGATCTATCTCATAATTTTAATGACTATATAATTACTAACTATGGATGTACCATGATTAATTTAAACAACCTTTAAGTAGTGGACATTTGTGTATGTTCAGTCTTCACTAATACAAACTAAATTGTCCCAAATATCCAGTACATACATTTCTATGCACTTGTGCAAGCATTTAATTTTCTTTTTCTTTCTTTCTTTTTTTTTTTTGCAAGCATTACTTATACGAGAAATTTTAGAAGTGAAGTCATTAGACCCATTTTATTTCTAGCCCATCTTTGCCCATTTTTCCTATTATGATGTTTATATTGAAGATTGTAACTCTTTGTCAATATACTCTGTCAATACTTTCCTACTTTGTATTTATCTTTCAATTTAGTTCATGGTCTTTCACCAAACCAAAATTTTAAGTATTTTTCTTGTCATGGTTGTCGAAGTTACAAGATTTTTGGATTTTAGATTTTTCTTAAAAAGACCTTTCCTACTCTAAAATTACAAAAAGGGGGAAAATATTAATTTACATTGATATATGGGTTTGTTTCTGGACTTTCTATATTTTATCATTCATTTATTTCTAATTTTTCTTAGCTAGTCTCTCATTCTTCCAAATGGATTTTAGAATCAATTTTTCTAGTTAAAATAAATCCTATGACAATTTAATTAGAATTTCAATTAATTAATAGGTTACTTTAGTGAGAATTAACATTAGAATACTGACTTTTTCCATCCAGGACTCTGGTATATTGTCTGTTTATTTCAATTTTTAAAAATGTCATTTGGTAAAGTTTTGATCTTATGAAGATCATGTCTATTTCTTGTTAATTTTTTAAAATTCTTTATTAGTTAAGGTATTACAAATGTGTCCTCATCCCCCCCCCCCACACTCATGCTCTCATCCCCCTGTTGTCCATTTCCATTGGTTTGGCTTATATGCATGTCTTGTTAATTTTATTCCTAGTGCTTTATTTCCAGGTTTGTGATGGGAATCTTTTCCTCTACTATATTTTCATGTCATTTATTACTGGTATTTATGAAAGCTTTTAAAAACATACATATTATTGCAGTTTAGCAATCTAAAAGGTATTTCTTCCATATAAATCTGCATTTCATCTTATAACTACCTTAGTTTTGATAAATATCATAAAGATATATCTGCCCACCTTACTGAACTACATTTTCTATGAGATTTACATTATATTTCACTGGGTTTTCTAAATAGACACTCATATTATCTGCAAATAATTAAAATTTTGTTACTTCCTTTCTCATTTATATACTCTTTTAATAAAAATTTCTTATTGCATGGGTCAGAGTCTCCAAAACAGTGTTCAATAATAAGAGGGATAGTAAACAGCCTTGCCTTTATACTGATTTAATTAGGAATGCTTTTCTGTTTCACCATGATCTTTTAAATTTGCTTCTTATAATGTATATGTATGTCAGATTATGACATGCCTCTATTCATAATAACTCAGTAGCTTCCCGTTTGACTCAGAGTAAAAGCCAAAGTCTATCCTTTGAGCAAAATGCCCTAAAGGATTTGCCTCCCTGATATCATCCCCTATCTACTCTTCTTCTTGGTTGTTTCCACCATAGTAGCTTCCTTGTGATTTTGTTAGGATGCCAGGTACAATCTACCTCAAGGCCTTTGAAATTTGGTTCATTCTACCTGTAATGCTCACTTTTTACATATATCTTCCAGCACCCTCACTTCATTCAGAACTTCACTCAAAAGTAATTTTCTCTGAGAGGCCTTCCTAAGCCAACTTATCTAATAGTCAGTGTTAAACATAAAATACCCTTTATGATATTCGTGTATATGCACTGAAGAAAAAATACTAACCTATGTAAGTCCTCTGTTTGAAGCTCCATTGTTTAGGAATTCTGTTAACCATACTTTTACTCATGGCTCCCTAATGTGTTCAAGTTGCAGCCTTACCCTTAATTTCCCAAATGTAGAAAAAGAAAGTCATTTTGGATCTTATCTAGGTTAATGCTATATGACCTTTGGAATAAATTTCATCAGAGGTTGTCAAGCCCTAAAAAGCCTATTTAAAAAGTCAGAACAACCCTTTATTTTTCTGGCAGACCAGTTCTAGCTTACTGAGTCTTAGTTATAAGGTTCTGGAGTCTAGGCGCCTTTAGACAACTTAAATTTCTCACAGTCATAGAATGAAAATTTTCAGGTAATACCTGAATACTATGTGGACATTGCATTTAATTGCACAGAATACTAAAATTTCCACTTTACTATAATTCAAAGTTAAATATAGTGTGGCCCAAAATGGGGAGACTTCTTTCATTTTGGCAGTTCCTGAGACAATAATGTCAAACAATATGTACCTCTCTGGAATAATTATTACTTGGTCATCACCTATTACTCTTAACCTACAGTTGGAATTGATGGTCACAGAAAAATAGTTAACAACCTTTACTGTCTCTTCTATGAATATTTATTTTTTCAGGTTTACTATCTCTTCTTAAATTAATTTTTGGAAGTAAATATATTACTATAGAAACATCTAGTTTATACAGATTTTCAAATGTTTGAGGTAAGGCTCTAACAGTATAGTTCTATGATATTTTAAATATTCCATATCATTGTTTATATGCCCCCTTTGAATTCCTAATCCTTTTCCTTTTTGGTCAGACACACCAGCATTTTGTCTATGTTGTTCATGCTTTCAAAGAACTGGCTTTGGTTTTGTTTATTAATTATTTTTGTTTTTCTCTTTTGCTTTCCAATTCATTATTTCCTGTCTATGTTTTGACTTTCTAGTGTTCCTTTCCTTTAATTTGTTATTTCCAATAGTTTTTTTAAAAAATATTAACTGGAATAATTCCATCTTTTCCATCTTTCTAATTAAAAACTGAGATCAATGAATTTTCCTCTGAGTTTAGTTTTAGTCATAATCATCAGGTTTTGATATATCATGATCTCAGTGTCTGTATATTTTGAGTTTTATATTACCATTCTGACTTCTGTTTTTACAGAATTTTTTAGTAAAAGGAGTTTGCTAGCCCTAACTGGTTTGGCTCAGTGGATAGAGCGTCAGCCTGCAGACTGAAGGGTCCCAGGTTCAATTCCAGTCAAGGGCATGTACCTTGGTTGCGGGCACATCCCCAGTAGGGAGTGTGCAGGAGGCAGCTGATCGACGTTTCTGTCTCATTGATGTTTCTAACTCTCTATCCCTCTCCCTTCTTCTCTGTAAAAAATCAATAATATATATATTTTTTTTTAAAAAAGGAATTTGCTATTTTGAATTCTGCACCATTGTGTGGAAACAATAATTTTTACTTTAATATGATAACACACTATATACAATTAAACTACTACTCTCATACATTGATAGTACACTTGTAAATTGCTGTATATCATTTAGAAACTATTTTGAAAAGCACAAAAAGTTTATCAGATTATTATTAAGTAAAACAACATATGATACCAAATATTACCTTATACACACTAATATCAATGTCATAACTCAATTAAACTAAGGGGGAAAAGGTTAGAAGAAGAGAAAGCAAAATTAACTGTGCATTTCTTCTAAAAATTTTTTTAAAATATATTTTATTGATTTTTTACAGAGAGAAAGGGAGAGAGATAGAGAGTTAGAAACATCGATGAGAGAGAAACATCGATCAGCTGCCTCCTGCACATCTCCCGCCGGAGATGTGCGCGCAACCCAGGTACATGCCCTTGACCGGAATCGAACCTGGGACCTTTCAGTCCGCAGGCTGACGCTCTATCCACTGAGCCAAACCGGTTTCGGTTGGATTTCTTCTAAAGTATGGTAGAATGTTTATCTCTGTTTTACAAATGCTCTGCTATAATGTGTTTATATGAAAAAATGAAATGTATCATGTATTGAATGCTTGCTATATGCGCAGAGCCTAACATATAGTATCTTTAATCTTTACAGGTAAATTATATGCAATTCTGTAACTTCATAATTTTAGAGTCAGATTTTAAAATTTTCCAAAGGTCATATAACATGAAATTACCAGAGTTGAGTATTGCAACTTCAAAGTTCTTCTTTCTACTACAGCAGGGCTTCTTAATCTGGGGTTTGTGAATTTACTTGAGAAAGGTATTACATCTCAAACTGAAATGTAGCATTTCTTTCAATTCTGAATGTAGGTAATAAGCCATAGGAAAATAGCAGTAGCTGTGACTCTGTCACCAATAGAAGTCACAGATATTCACAAGTCATCATATTACTCTTGTTACTGATATTGTGAGATTTATTTCACTCCCATCACTACTTAGAAATGTCCACAATTATTAGCTCTACTACTGTTTAATGCGTTAATAAAGAAAACATATATTATTATATTACAAGTTTGATTTAAAAAATTTTTGCTGTTCTTTTTAACATAATTAATTTCCCTTGGAGTCCTATGTGTCTTATTTTATGTATTGGAAGACTTTTTTTTTGAGTTGGAGTTCAAACTGCCCAATGATCCCCTGCTAACATTCCTTGAAGCTATACCATATGAATCTCTACTTTTTATCAATATCCTGGGCACATATCATAAAAAGGCTAAGATTCCTTGAAACTATACCATGAAGCTTCATTGTACAATTACAAATTTTAATTAGCTCGTAAGAAGGCATCATTATGCTACTATTTAAATATTTTAATTTTATTTATAAATTGTTGCATATATAGGAAAGCAGTTGATAGAAAATTTACACTAAACAGAATTGCAATAGGTGTCCTGCTGATTTATTTTAATCTGCCATCAATAATTCCAAGAACCTTAAAAACATCCAATAAGTAATTACTCTTCATAAGATTCCCTATGCAGTAGCAATTATCTACATTTTATGGCAATATCAGCTGTCAAGCCTTACCACCCCATGAGCTCCAGCCTCTGAATTGGTGGTTATTTTTGTTGTTGATGGGAATAAGGAGAACAAGTCAGTAAAAAGATGGCATAGGTAACAGCACTTTAAATGCTGTTAACTACTAAAAAGTTACTCATTCTAAATAATTTCAATAGGATTTGTGATAAATACCAGTAAACAGATAAAGCTTTTTCATAGAGAATTTAGATGCCAGTGATTTATTTTTAAAGCATATGTCCTAAAAGCAATCTGTCTTATAGCTGAGTTTGCTATTTGATGTCATGACTATCAAATGTGGTTTGCTTATTCTCATTCATCTTATCCCTTTGTTTACCCAAAGCACAGATTGTATAAAATCTTGCGCATATAGTTTCACAGTCTCTGCTCTCTGTCACATATAAATGAAACCTAGCTCAGAAATAATATGCCTGCAGAAAAACAGCATATTCATTTTTTAAAGGAACAGTCATTCTTAAAATATTATATAATTCTGGAAATAAAATGATGCTAACATTTTAACTTAGCGGAGAGGAGGAAGAAGCAAACCCAAAGCCAATTATGTGGAAACACTAATGTTAAAACTCTTCATATTTTCTTCTTTTAGGTTTGCTGTTTGTATTTACTGAGGAATTGAAGGCCGGTTCTCACATCCTTGAAAGTATATACTGCTCGTATGAAGGTTTCTCTGGGACGGTGTGCTTTCTGATTGATCTGCTGCAACAGTCAGGCTGAATTCCCTCTCGTCAGCGTCTTTGTTTAGAAGGATCCATCTCCCACTGTGGCCCTGTAGATGGTTTCTGAGATTTCCTGAGCTACTCAAGGCAGTTTCCACACAAGCCACATTCAATGGTATCACAACCATGAGCCTTCACATTGCCACAGGAAGAAGGGAAGAAAGAAAGGAAGGCAGGCAGGTGAAGGCAACATGATACCAGACTTAAGGGAGAACTGTTTGAGAACCTGCAAAATGAAGACACTACAACTCTTCTAAACCATAGAAATTCAATATTTCAGAGACTAGGAGTGAAATTAGTGATCAGAGGAGAAAGGAAAAAATAAATTATTCATTTTTTAGTTAGGACATAAAAAACTGAAATGTGGACAAAGGCAATAAAATGTCAATATCTTTGCAACTGGAGAGAGAAGTTGACTATTTGTGGGTGCTCTCCACCCATAAATTTAGAAATAAAATTGGGAGGAGTTGGGGAATAATCTAAAACTAAAGTAATTGCCCAGCTGAAAGCTTCTAGGAGGGATGCAGTGTCAGGTTGCTGAAGGACAAAAAAGGAAACTTAGTTTTCCTATGCCTTTACTTATTGAAATGTATTCTTTTTATTGAATAGAGAGATTTTTATATGAATCTCTACTTTTTATCAATATCCTGAGCACATATCTAACTTTGCTTAAACCCTGAAATTTGAAATTTCTTTAACCATCTTTTCCTGGTTCCCTCTTCCCCCAAAGCTCAATTAGAATAGTAAAATTCATAGACTAGCAAATACTGTAGCAACTGTTACTGTCAACTATTTTCTCAGTTTGAAGTGTGAGCTGTTAATGTCTATTACAATTTTTAAATGTAATTCTTATGAAGCTATTAGCTGAACTGTAAAATATACTCAGGATAAAAATCACTCATTCAGGCTAACCACTACAAAAGTGTGCCATTTCTGCCTTTGATGGAATACTGTGTTCCCTAGAACAGGCACGCACTGGCAGAGAAAGGGACTAGTGATGTGGAAAGAATGTTCCTCAACTTTATACTGTTAGATTAAGAGATGAATGAACTCCCTGGCTGATTACCTTATCTCCCAAGACATAATTTCCATAGGAAATTGTCTACAATACCCACCAATCCAAGTTGTCATATTGAATTCAACCCTGCTGTAAACACATACAAGTTTTAAAATGACTTCAAATAAATAGTTGTTTTCAGAACACTATAGAAGTATTTGTCACTTCAATACTCAGAACACTGGTTTATCACTTTCCATAGTACTTGGTCACTGACAATTTCATATCTAAGTGGAGGAGGAAGTTTTATATCATATAAGATTTTACAATTATTAAATGGTCACTAAATATTTACATATGTAAAATATGTACATACTAGAGGCCCAGTGCATGAAATTTGTGCATGGAGGAGGTGGTCCCTCAGCTCAGCCTGCACCCTCTCCAGTTTGGGACCCCTTGGGGGATGTCTGACTGCCGCAATCTGGGACCACTGGCTCCTAAATATTCACCTGCCTGCCTGCCTGGTTGATCCTAACTGCCTCTGTCTGCCTTCCTGATCACCCCTAAATGCCCTCCCCCTCTGGCCTGGTTGTCCCCAACTGCCCTCCCCTCCTGGCCTGATCTCCCCCACAATGGCCTTTCCCTGCCGACCTGATCTTGCCCCCAACTGCCCTCCTCTGCTGGCAATTGGTTCTGATTGGTTGGTTTCTATGCCACTCAGCATCAAAAGCTCCACCTCCTAGGCAGCCACTGGCTCCCCATAGCACCCAGATTTGGTTCTGATTGGTCAGTTTCTATGCCCGTCAGTGTCAGAAGCTCTGCCTCCTAGGCAGCCATTTGTCTTTCACAGCACCCACATTTGGTTCTGATTGGTCAGTTTCTATGCCAGTCAGCATCTCTGGGCCTATCAACGGGGCCTGATAAGAAAGGAGGGGCTGATCAGCAGCCCCTGTGGAGGCCCGGCTGCTGGCCAGACTGGCAGAGAAATAGAGAGGCAAGTGCTGATGAAAAGCTGCCACAAAGGCAACCGATCAGTCCCTTCTCTCTTCAGGCCTCTCTCTGGCCCTGATTCACATCCCCCTCAGCAGTCAGTGCTGGGGCACCATTCCTGCAGCCAGGCAACCCAGCCCTGACTGCAGGACTGACTTCTGGTTGGTCCAGCCTCTGTCCTTACTGGTCGTTAAGACCCAGGGTTTTTATGTATTAGGATTAGGATATCCTCATGTACACTCAAACATTTACTTAATTCAGTAGTTTTCAAATTCTTGATTCATAAATGAACTTTGGGAGGAGTTGGGGAATGCTTTGTTGCCTAAAAATATCTGTGTGTGCATGCTCATTTTTTTTGGGGGGGGGGGAAGGATCTCTAGCATTCATAAGATTCTCAAAGAATTCTGTAGATGACAAAAATGTAAGAACCACCTTTGTATATTTTATGACTGTTTATGTTTTCATTCATCAGAACAAAGTAGGACAAAATGGTTTTGAAAGCATGCACCTTTTTAGCTTGTTGTTTCATTTTCACATCCTTAGATATGAATATATAAAATTTGTCTCAGTTTTTCATCTTGGAACATAATCAGGTTGGGGCAATACTCCCAAAGTTGGGTTCTTGAAATTCTTTCAAATACAGTGAAGGACCTCTCTGAAATCTTTTTTTTATTGTCTGAAGTTTTACATATGTCTCCTTTTTCCCCAATTGATGCCCCCCCAAGCCATTCCCACCCTGGGAAAGCCCCCACCACCTCAGTGTCTGTATACATTGGTTATGCTAATATGCATTCATACTAGTCCTTTGGTTGCTCTCTAACCTCCCTCCTCTGCCATTTGTCTCTGGATCTATTCTTACTCATCAAACTATGTTGATCATTATATCCCATATATGAGTGAGATCATGTGATATTTATCTTTTTCCAACTGGCTTATTTCACTTAGCATAATGCTCTCTAGTTCCATCCATGCTGTTGCAAATGGTAAAAGTTCTTTCTTTTATATAGCTGCGTAGTATTCCATTGTGTAGATGTGCCACAGTTTTTTAATCCACTCATCTGCTGATGGGCACTTAGGCTGTTTCCAAATCTTAGCTATTGCAAATTGTGCTCCTATGAACATAGGGTTGCAGATACCCTTTCTTATTGGTGTTTCTGGTTTCTTGGGATATAGTCCTAGAAGTAGGAGTTCCATTTTTAACTTTTTGAGGGAATCTCCATACTGTCTTCCACAGTGGCTGCACCAGTCTGAAATCTTTAAGGCAAAAATGTCTTCTACAAAATAGTTTCTTTTTGGGACAATAGTGATACCTGCTTTTCAAACCCAGGGTTTCACTTCCCAAGTGTATTTATTCAGTAATATAGACTAGATGCTAGGAAACAGCAATGAACAGAACATCCCTATGTTACCTTCTGTTTCTGTTTGCTGATCCTTCCACCATTCATCCTTGAGACCTAAAACCTAAAGCACTAAGAAATGAAAATATATCTCAACATATCAGTTCCATTTCTAGGAACATTCAGAAAAACATGACTCTTTCTTGACCATCTGTGCTTTCAAGATCCAGTAAAGCGACTGATATTGTTATGCTGACCATTGTGAAAAGGTAACCCTTTTCATGTCAAATCCGGCAAAGGCCGTGTTTGAGTGTGTCTTTATAAGATGACACGTCAGTAAATTAGAAATAAGGGTAAGCTTCTTTAGTGTGTAAACCTGTTGTAAGTTTTCATTTTCCTGAAAGAATTATAGGTTTGGGAAGGTCTTCTTCTATTTTTTCATTTTCCCAAGAGTTGGGAAAATACACCTAAGTGTTGCTATAGAAAAGTGTGGCATGTCACTCTTGTTTTTAAAATATATTTTATTGATTTTTTACAGAGAGGAAGGGAGAGGGATAGAGAGTTAGAAACATCAATGAGAGAGAAACATCGATCAGCTGCCTCCTGCATGCCCCTTACTGGGGATGTGCCCACAACCAAGGTACATGCCCTTGATCGGAATCAAACCTGGGACTTTTCAGTATGCAGGCCGACGCTCTATCCACTGAGCCAAACTGGTTAGGGCTATCACTTCTTATTTAATTAACCAATTTGTTCCCTTCTATGTACTAACATTATTGCTTGAACAGTGATTAATTAAGCATTTTGCCTCTTGAAGTCTATGGGGCAGTTTTACCACTAGTATAACTATAATATTATTTAGTATATGGGACATGAACAATTATAAACCCTGAAGGTAACACTGAAAATATGTGAAGATAGATTGAAAGAATCTCTCAACAATGTGGAGACTGCATTATTCTTTAAGAACAGAAAGTTTTTTTCTTATTATTTTTAATATATTTTTTATTGTTGTTAGAATTACATGTATCACATTTCCCTCTCATTCCCCCCCTACTCTCAGCCCCTCTCCTCCCCAAGACTTGAATAGCCTATTGCATGTGTTCATGGGCTATGAATATAAGTATATATGTTCTTTGGTTTATCTCTTCTCATCTGTCCAACCCCACATCAAAGTATGTCAGTCTGTTCCATGCCTCCATGCTTTGGATCTTGTTTTTTTTATTTTTCCATTATTGATTAAGGTATTACATATGTGTCCTTATCTATCCCCCAATTGTCACTCCCCATGCCCCCGATCCTGTTGTCTGTGTCCATTGGTTAGGCTTACATACATGTATACAAGTCAGTTGGTTGATCTCCTCCCCTTCCCCCCATCCTCCCCTACCTTCCCTCTGAGGATTGATGGTCTGATCGATGCATGCTTGTCTCTGAATCTCTTTTTGTTCATTAGTGTATGTT